GGTTTTGTGGGGTTTTTTTTCTTAATATGGTGTAAGAAAGTGGTCTAGTTTCAACTTTTTTTTTTTTTTTAAGATTTTTATTGGGGAATTGCGGGGAGGGGAACAGCGCTGGGGAATTGGGGGAAGGGGAACAGACAAGTTGCTGTCGTTTTGTTCTTCAATCTAGTTGTGGAGGTCGTTGCTTCACTGGCCCAAGCTGGCACCATCATTGTGCTCTTCTCTGGCGAGGCAGATCAGTCGCCGGCTTCTGGACGGCCGCTCACTGCGGCTGCTGGCTGCTCACGCTGGCTGCTGGCTACACGCGGTAGCCCATGGCAACCCACTGCCACAGGGACTGCAGCCTACGCCGCCGCCGGCGACTCATGGCAGCCCAGCTCCAGGTTGAGCTGTTGTTCAGCATCTTAGCTGTGGAGGGCAGTGTCACTGGCCCTCCTATGTGGGATCCGAACCGGGGCCCTCTGGCATCCCAAGCGAGTTCTTAACCATCGCGCCACTCAGCCGGCCCTTCAACTTTTTATTGCATATTTCTGTCCTGTTTTCCCAACATCATTTATTGAAGAGACTGTCTTAACCCCATTGTATATTCCTGCCTTCTTTGTCATAGATTAATTGACCATATAAATGGGGTTTATTTTGGGGCTCTCTATTCTGTTCTTGTTTTGTGTCTATGTGTCTGTTTTTGTGCCAGTACCATGCTGTTCTGATTACTATAGCTTTGTAGTATAGCTTTTTTTCTTTCTCATGGTTTCTTTGGCTATTTGGGGTCTTTTGTGGTCCCATATAAATTTTAGGATTATTGTTCTAGTTCTGTGAGAAATACCATTGGTATTTTGATAGGGATTGCATTGAATCTGTAAATTGCTTTGAGTAGTGTGGACATTTTTGACACTATTAATTCTTCCAACCCACGAGCATGGTATATCCATCCATTTATTTGTGTGTTCATCAATTTCTTTCATCAATGTTTTATAATTTCAGAGTACAGGCCTTTTACCTCCTTGGTTAAATTTATTCCTTGTTATTTTTTTATCTAACTGTAAATTAGATTATTTTCCTTATTTGTCTTTCTGGTAGTTTGTTATTAGTGTATAGAAAGGCAATGGATTTCTGTATATTGTATATCTTGCAACTTTGCTGAATTCATGTATTAGTTCTAATAGTTTTTTAGTGGGATCTTTAGGGTTTTCTCTGCATAGTGTTATGTCATCTGTAAATGGTGACAGTTTTACTTCTTCCTGTCCAGTTTGGATGGATACCTTTTATTCACTTTTCTTGTCTGATTGCTGTGGCTAGGACTTCCAGTACTATGTTGAATAATAGTAGTGAGAGCGGACATTCTTTTCTTGTTCCTAATCTTAGAAAAGCTTTTCAGCTTTTCTCCATTGAACATGATGTTAGCTGTGGGTTTGTCATTTATGGCCTTTGTTATGAGGTATGTTCCCTCTATAACACTTTGTTGGGAGTTTTTCAAAACCATAAATGGATGTTCAATTTTGTCAAATGCTTTTTCTGCAACTATTGAGATGATATTTTGATTTTATTTCTTCATTTTATTTAAGTGGTATTTGATATTGATTGATTTGTGGATGTTAAACTATCCTTACATCCCAGGAGTAAATCCCACTTGATCATAGTGTATGATCTTTGTAATGAATTTTTGAATTCGGTTGCCTAATATTTTGTTTAAGATTTTTACATCTATGTTGATCAGGGATATTGGCCTGTAATTTTTCCCTTTTTTGGAGTGTCTTTGTCTGGTTTTGGTATCAGGGTAATGGTGGCCTCATCAAATGAGTGTGGAAGCTTTCCCTCCTCTTCAATTTTTTGGAATAGTTTGAGAATAATAGGTATTAACTCTTCTTTTAATGTTTGGTAGAATTTACCTGTGAAGTTCTCTGGTGTTAGAATTTTGTTTGTTTGGATTTTTTTTTTTTGATTACTGATTCAATTTCATTACTATTAATCCATCTGTTCAGATTTTCTGTTTCTTCCTAATTCAATCTTGGAAGATTGTATGTTTCTAAGAATTTATCCATTTCTTTGAGGTTATCCAATTTTGGCATATAATTGTTCATAGTATTATCTCATAACTCTTTGTATTTTTTTGGTGTTGGCTGTCACTACTCCAAATTATTTGGGTTTTCTCTCTCTTTTTCTTGATGAGCCTGGCTAACGGTTTATCAATTTTGTTTATCTTTCAAAGAACCAGTTCTTAGTTTTATTGGATTTTTCTATTGTTTTGTTTGTTTTTTAAATCTCTGTTTCATTTATTTCTTTCCTGATCTTTATTATTGCCTTCCTTTTACTCACTTTGGGCTTTGTTTGCTGTTCTTTTTCTAGTTTCTTTAAGTGTAAACTTAGATTGTTTATTTGAGATTTTTCTTGTTTCTAGAGTAGTCCTGTATTGCTATGAATTTTCTCTTAGCACTGCTTTCACTGTGTCCCATAGATTTTGGGTCATTGTGTTTTCATTTTCATTTGCCTCAAGGTATCTTTTGATTTCTTTCCTGATCTCATCGTTGACCTATTCATTGTTAGCATGTTATTTAGCCTTCATGTGTTTGTGTGTTTTTCAGTTTTTTTCTTTGTAATTTATTTCTACTTTCATACCATTGTGGTCTAAGAAGATGCTGACAGATTTCAATCTTCTTAAATTTTTTGAGATTTGTTTTGCAGCCTAACATGGTCTATCCTGAAAAAAGTTCCACATGCACTTTAAAATAATGTATATCCTGTTGCTTTTGAGTGGATGTTCTGTAAGTATCTATTAAGTTCAGCTGGCTCAATGTGTCATTAAGGCTACTGTTTCTGTGTTGATTTTCTGCCCAATCTATTCATTGATGTAAATGGAGTACTGACGTCCCCTACTATTACTGTATTACTGTAGTTACCTTCCTTTATGTCTCTTAATATTTGCTTAATGTATTTATGTGCTTTTACATTAGGTGGGTGGATGTTTACAAGAGTTATATCCTCTTTTGGGGTTGATCTCTTTATCATTATGAAATGCTCTTCTTTGTGTCTTGTCGCAGTCTTAGTTTTAAAATCTATTTTACTGGGCCGGCTGAGTAGCTCAGTAGGCTAAGAGTTGGCTTAAGAGCGTGAGCTCTGACTGAGCAACAGGGCCACCAGTTCAATTCCTACATGGGCCAGTGACACTGTGCCCGAGCTGAGCTGTTGCTGAACTGCCAACAGGTGGCGGGATGGCTCAGCTGGTGTTAACAACACTATTACTTGTTCGATGGTGGGCTACGCCCACCCACAACTAAGACTGAACTTGGCACCTTGAGCTGAGCTGCCACCGGGATGGCTCAGTGGATAGAGTGTGTGCTCTTAACAACGAGGCAGCTGGTTCGACTCCCACATGGGGATGGTGGCTACGCCCACCCGCAACTAAGATTGAACACGGCACCTTGAGCTTAGAGGCCATGAGCTGCTGAAGGGAAGCCAGATGGCGACTGGCGCCCTCCACAATGAAGATTGAAGAACAACAACTTGTCTGGTCCCCTTCCCCAATTCCCCAACACTATTCCCCTCCCCCAAATCCCAAATAAAATCTTTAAAAAAAAATCTATTTTGCTGACATAAGCATTGCTACCCCAGCTTTCTTTTTGTTTCATTTGCATGAAATATCTTTTTCCCTTCTCTTCACTTTCAGTCTTTGTGTGTCTTTCAAACTGAAGTGAGTCATTTTAGGCACTGCATGCACAGATCTTGTTTTTGTTTTTTGTTTTTAATTCATTTAGCCACCTCATGTCTTTTGAAGAGCATATTCAGTCCATATACATTTGAAGTAATTATTGATAGGTATGTAGTTATTGCCCAAATGAAACTACTTGAATGGTAAATACATTTGTAATGAACAATTTAGTGGAGGGATAAACAGCAAATTAGATGTAGAATTACTAAATTAGATGACAGACCTGAGGAAATTACTGAAAATGAATCACAGATAAATAAAAAAATGAGAAAATGATAGACTTGGGGAAGAGCAGCACCAGGCCACATGTGTCGAAAAGTACTTCTGTGAGAGACTAGAGACAACGAGGAAGATGAAATAATACAAAAAATCATGCATAGAATTTTTAGAAATGATAAAATACGTGAATTTAAAATTTTAACATTCATAAGAAAGAATGGGAAATGTAAAGAAAACAAATTCACAAGTGGACACATCATAGTGAAACACAGGAAGCCAAAATCCAAGAGGAGATCTTAAAAACCATCACAGAGAAGAAAAAGATTTATAGAACAACAGTTATTCTTCCTGCCAACTTGTCAACCACAATGAAGAACATAGAAAATAATGGCATAACCTCTAAAGTATTGAGGGTACATAACCATTGACGTAGAATTCTGTATCCGGCTAAACTGTGATTCAAAAGGGAGGGTGAAATAAAGACATTTTAGAAAGTAGATGGAGAGAATTCACAAAACCTCGCTGGAAGAATTACCAGTGGATATAGATCATAAAAAAGGAAATTTAGTCTAGAGTAACAGAATGGGTCCTAGAATAATGCGATATAAAGCAAAACAAGTAAGTTAGTGAAAAACAACACCTGATCCCAAGGCCAAGTATTTGAGTACACTGATAGTGAATGGTGTGTTAGAAGATGCAGACTACATTAGCAACCCTTTCCATCAATACTTACTGTGACTCCAGAATAGCATCTGTTCTTAGTGTCATTACTATGCATTTATATGCAGGTCACAAATTATGCCTCCCTTTGTAAGGGTAACTATCAGATCAGGGCTGGAAAATAAATGCCAGAGTCCCAATTGGAGCATATACCAACAAAAAAGTTATTGAACTGGGAGGCTCCGATTTGGAGAACTAACCAGCTGCTTGCCTTACACATCTTCTAAGTGTGAAGTAGTCTGTGTTGGGAAACCCAGGCTTCTCGCTGAGGCATCATGGACTTGAGAGCCAGAGGTGGGCCTTCATTCAGTTCTAAAAAATTTATTATCTCTGATCCTTGTGCGTCACTGCCTATCAACAGAGCCCATGGTGGTGTTTGCCAAGGAGCAGCAGGCACGCAGTGAGGTGCAGGCCGAGGCGGGGGCCAGTGCCACACTGAGCTGCGAGGTGGCCCAGGCCCAGACGGAGGTGACGTGGTACAAGGACGGCAAGAAGCTGAGTGGGAGCTCGAAAGTGCGCGTGGAGGCCAAGGGCTGCACCCGGCGTCTGGTGCTGCAGCAGGCGGGGAAGGCGGACAGCGGGGAGTACAGCTGCGAGGCCGGGGGCCAGAGGGTCTCCTTCCGCCTGGATGTCACAGGTCAGTTGACAAAGCAGACATTTGACCACTCTGGGAACAGGCCTAGAGGAAGTGTCTCAGTGTGGGCAAGGGCAGGAGAAAGCACTCAGTAGCTTCATCTGGGCTCTTTCAATCAGTTTTCTAGTGCCAAGTAGCAAACACCCCCTAAACGTAGAAGCCCAAAAGAACAATTGGTTACTGTCATGATTCCGTGGGTCAGGGCTCAGTGGGGATCGTTCATTTCTGCTCACATGGTTTCGACTAGGACAGGAGGAGGCAGTCTGGCCTCATTCATGCATCTGATGCCCCATTAGGATGGCACCCGTGGGTAGGGCTGGCTGGGGTGACAGGGCTCTCTCTTCTGCGATGTTGGCTGGGCTCACTCCTATGTCTGAGACCCCTTGTGACATCTCACCCACAGGGCTCTTTCTCCATGTGGACAGCCGGGGCTCCTTCACGTGGTGGCTGGCTTCCCCCGAGGGAATAGTAGATGCTACAGGGCTGGATAATGTCTGTTTTCAGCTGTTCCAGAATGTTACGGTCTCTGTGTCCTGTTGCAAAAAGCTAGGAGTATGGCCAGCCTGATTCCAATGGGGTGGAGAAGTAGACCCTAGTGGCTCATCTGGGACCTCTTCCAACAGGAACATCACAGGGACTCAGGCTTTGTCTTTTTCTAATTCTCTGCCATCCTGAGCATGTTACCTTTTTTTTCCCTAATGCTTATCACCTCATGATCACAAAATGGCTTTCACAGCTCCAGCCGTCACTTTCAAGACAGGAAGAACGTGAAAGGGATGTTTATTTTTTAATTTTTTGTTTTTGTTTTTACTGCTGTGCAACAAATTATCATGAACTCAATGGCTTAAAACAATGCCTGTTGATTGGCTCACAATTCTGTAGGTCAGAAGTCCAGGTATGGTGTGGCTGGGCTCTCTGCCCAGGGTCTTAAAGGCTGGAATCCACGTGCCACGGGTTGAGTTCTCTGGGGCTCCTCTTCTAAGCCCATCCAAGTTGTTGGCAGAATTCCTTTCCTGTGGTTCCAGATCTGAGGCTGTTTTCTGGCTGGCTGGCAGCTGGGGGCCGCTCCTGGCCCTTTGCACATGGGTCTTCCGTCTTCAGACCAGCCATGGAGAATCCCCCTTATGTCCAATCACTCTCGTGCTTTGAATCTTTGGCCAGGAAGAGCCCCTCCCTTCCAGGGTTCACCAGTTTAGGTCAGGCCCATCCAGGACCATCTCCCTTTTGATGAGCTAAGACTCAGTTTACCTGGGACCTAAATTCCTTCTGCATAATCCATTTACAGCAGCGCCTGGATTAGCATTTGGTGGAATAGCTGGGGGAAGCTGTGTACACTTTGTGGGGCAGGGGTTTTGGGGCATTCCTGCCTAACACAGAGCATTGCAGCTGTTTCTTTTCTTTGGAAGACAGACACTCTCCTAGGAGCCTGAAGCAGGTTCCCCCTTACCCCTCCTGGCTGGTGTGCGTCCCACGGCCACACCCTGCTCCAGGCAGTTTGTGAAGGTTGAGCCCCTGGCCTTCCTGCCTCTGCAGTAGGACTTTGAGGATGGAGGAGGTGGGTGTGCTGAGGGTGCTGTGCTGTGGGCCAGTCCACGCCCACACCAGAGTGGCTGTGCCCTGATTTTGACGCCCTCTTCGAGGCTGGCTGTGGAGGAGTCAGAGTGTGGACAGGGTCAGACCTCATTTATGCCTCTTAACATCTGGGTGATCTTGGGCAAGTTGTTAATGTCATGTCTCCCCGAAATTCACACCCACTTGGAACCTCAGATTGTGGCTGTATGTGGAAAGGGGGTCTCTGCAGATGTCATAAGTTAAGGATCTCCAGATGAACTGATGCTGGATTAGGTGGGCCCTGAATCCAATGACAGGGGTCTTTATAGATAAAGGAAGGGGAGCTTTGACACACAGACACAGGCAGAGATGGGCTGATGTGGCCACAAGCCCAGGGACACCTGAAGCACCAGCAGCTGGAAGGGGCAGAGAGAACGCCTTTGTGACACCTTGATCTTGGACTTTTAGCTTCCAGAACCGGGAAAGGAAAAATACCTATTTTTTAAAGCCCGTTTGTGAACATTTGTTACGGCCACCCTGGACCTCTTATTATAGCCCTCTGTGCCTCAGTTTCCTCATCTGTGAAGTGGGTGGTAATAGAACTCCTAGGGCTGTGCTGAGCGGACTGCCCCATCAGCTTGTCCCTGCCATGTGCAACGGCGTGGGCCACCCCCTGCAAGGCACGTTGTGGCGGTTGGACTGGGGTTCTCGGGACGAGGTAGGCAGGCAAGGAGACTGAGCTTGCGAATGGGGCAGAGGCCCAGGCAGCAGGGTCCTCGTATCTGGTCCCGGAGGATGAACCCAAGAGTGTGGAAGGCGACACTCCAGGGAGTGTGTGTGCGTCAGGGTGTCTGGAAAGTTCTGAATGTCAGCGGTTGGCAGTGTGTGAGGGTCGTGCAAGAGGCTGAGCAGGAACCCGTGCCAGGTTGTTAAGGCCAACTTCTCAAACTGAGGTTTGTCCTTAGTGACACTCTACTCAAAACCAGGGCACACTGGCTTGTATTTTCACAGGCCTATGCAGTTTTGTCACTTTTATACAGACGAGAGGTGATGCTCTTCCACCTGGGCCATAGGGTTCTGTGTGGCTGCGCAGTGAGGGCTGAGTCCTGCAAGCCACCAAGGTTTCACCCCAAACTGGTGGTCTTTACATAGAGCTTTCTGTTGGTTATCTTCTTGAAAAATTTTAAGATGCCTCTCTAAGCCTTCGTTAACAATTTATGCAGTTTGCATTGGAGAAGCTAATTTTGTTTTCCTTTGATGTACATGAAATTGACATACTACTGTTAAGATAATAGCCATCCACTCTCATTCCACTGGGGGCCTGCCACCCACTTTGGACACTCGGGCCGATGTCTCCTGCCTGAGGAAGAGGAGTAGGAAGAGGAGTCCTTGGTGACAAAGTGAAGCCCAAACCGCTAGTTTCCAGTGAGTGAATTTGATGTATAACATGACAGGGATTCTCATGTGCCATTAATGGCACTTCCTACCTTTTTTTGTCCTGAAGATATTTTTACTTAAGAACATGCAATTGGTTGTGCTCCACCCACTTGCCTTAGGCAGGTCTTTGTTAACATAGAAGTGCTAGAATGTTTGGGTATTTCATTATTTCACCATCACGCTGCATTTTAGTTAAAAAAAAAAAAGACACCTGTAATGCGTGATGAAAAGCAGCCAGTGTGATGGGTCAGCTTTTAAAGCAGTAGATTCATCTCTCCGTGTCGCTTCACAGTCAGCAACAAAGGGGAGCTTGGACTGGTGGTGTTGAGTGTGCCCACACCCATGAGGGGTGACTTTTAGTCCATGTCCGTCCAGCGATTGTGTTTTTTTGAATGACTAATTCAATTTTACAGTGTGCATTTCCAAGATTTTTGGTATATTCACAAGGCGGTACAACCACAACACAGTCTAATTCTTGAACATTTTCATGACCCTAAAAAGAAACCCTGAACTCAATAGCAGTCACTCCCATTCTCCCCTTCCCAGCCCCTGGCAACCACTAATCCATTTTTGGCCTCTGTGGATTGGCCTGCTTTCATTTAAATAGAATCATGTGATATGTGGCTATTTGTGTCTGGCTGTTTCTACTCTGCATAATAATTTCACGGTTCATTCACGCATAGTATATGTCAGTATTTCATTCCTTTATGTGGCCAAATAATATTCCATTATATGTATAGACCATATTTTGTCTATTCTTTCATCAACTAGTAGACAGTTGAGTTGTCCCACTTTTAAAAACTTAGTTTAGGGGCCGGCCGAGTGGCTCAGTTGGTTAACAGCATGAGCTCTGAGCAACAGGGTCGCCAGTTTGATTCCCACCAGTGAGATGCGCCCAAGCTGAGCTGCCGCTGAGCTGCCAACACGTGGCAGGATGGCTCAGCTGGTGAGAGCATGTGCTCCTAACAAAGTTGCTGGTTCGACTCCTGCATGGGATAGAGGGCTACGCCCCTCCCCCCCCCCCCCCAACTAGACTGAAAGTGGCAACTGGACTTAGAGTTGAGCTTGTGCCCTCCACAACTAAGATTAAAGGACAACAACTTGACTTGGAAAAACACAATGTTCTCCTTGCCCAATTCTCCAACACTGTTCCCCTCCCCAAGTCCCCAATTAAAAAAAAAATCTAAAAAATCCCGAAAAACTTAGTTTAGTGTTTATTTACAATATAGTAATTTGATATTTTTATACTTGACAGTGTAATTGTCCCACTAGTTCCAGTCACCATACAAACTTATTACAATATTATTGACTATATTCTCCTTCACTTTTTTTTTTAAAGATTTTATTGAATCAGGGAAGGGGAACAGACAAGTTGCTGTCCTTTTGTTCTTCAATCTAGTTGTGGAGGATGTCGCTTCACCGGCCCATGTTGGTATTATCATTGAGCTTTTCCTGGGTGAGGCAGTCGCTCGCCAGCCATTGGACGGCCGCTCACAGAGGCTCACAGCAGTTCACAAAAGCTCACGCCCCACTGCTGGCCAGCCCCACTGCAGCCCACACCATCACCGGTGACTCACGAAAGCCCAGCTCCACGTCGAGCTGTTGTTCACCATCTTAGCTGTAAAGGGCACAGCGTCACTGGCCCTCATGTGGGATCCGAACCAGGGCCCTGCTGCTCAGAGCTGGCATCCCAAGCCAACTCTTAACCAGGGCGCCACTCGGCTGGCCCTCCCCTTCACTTTTATCACCCGTCGCCCACGCCCTCCCTTCTGGTAACCATCCCTTTGGTCTCTGTTTCCATGAGTCTGTTTTTGTTTTATTTTGTTTGTTTGTTTTATTCTTTAGATTCCACATATGAATGAGACCATATGGTATTTGTATTTTTCTGCCTGATTTATTTCACTTACATAATAACGTCTAGATCCTTCCATGTTGTCGTAAATGGTAAGATTTCATTCGTTTTTATGGCCGAGTAATAGTCCATTGTGTATATGTACCATCTCTTCTTTATCCAGTCGTTCTATTGATGTGCACTTAGATTGCTTCCGTATTTTGGCTATTGTAAACAACACTGCAATGAACATAGGTGTGCATATATCTTTTCGAA